TTGTTATCTAGCATCTGTCCTAGTATCCCATAATCCTCAAGAATAACCTTTAATTGTTAATCTTTCCCTTCCTGAAAACAGATTGCAATGTATGACGATACGTTCAACCCCATCAGGACATCACACAAATCTATAAACACCTGATGATACAAAGTGCTACCATTCGTAGGAGGATCACCCGGGGATAGGTCCCCCAAACCCCGTTTAACCCATAGGCTGGGTTATATTAGGGCCACTAATAGCAGCCATGATGGGGCTTTATAACAACAAAACTTATCCTGCAACGTACTGAAATAATATTCAGCTAGAGGTAACACCCCTGTTCTACTTCTTCTTCTTCTTCTTCGCGTTCACCAGCTGTACACTCTGGCGGAAAGTTCTGGTTGCTCGTCCACTACTGAACTGCGGTCTTGCTTCAGAACCTGAGTGTTGCGTGTGCATCAGTTTTACAGATCTCCTTCTCTTGAATACAGACTGTTGGTTCCTTGCCTCTCCGGCAGATGCACTCCGACTTCAAAGGAAGCTCCCCAATTAGTCGACTCTTACGACATGCTTTTGGGGAGGCAGTGGGTCTATTCTTGTTTTCCCCACAATGGGGCCCTCCTGTTCTATTTATTAACTTGCTTACTTAGTCGATCCTATTCTACTTTGGGGTGAAGATGTTTGCCAGAGAGATCGCCAGACTTCTTCTATCAGCTGTTCTCTTTTGGGCTTTATTCCATTCCAATCTTCTATCGGTCAGGAACCGTCGGATGTTGTCTTTCAGCGAACCCTGGGTCATCCCGGCAGTTTGGTTATTGGTCTTCCATGCCTGCCGCGGTGAGTGACTCACTCCCATTTTGCATGCATGTTTAAACAATCGCAACTGTGACTGACCCACTCAATTATTTAATGCACGGCTTTCAAGATCATGACATCTTACATGATTGAGAACTGTGTCCTTTTTTGTCACTAGGTTTCTGTGAGCTGTTATCGTTGCCTATGATTCACACAAATATGTCAGGACTGATAGATAGAGCGGCATGCATCCATTTTAGTCCTCTTGCTAATTTCTCTTTTGCCGAGAAACCCTGCCTGGAGAAAATGAGGCGTCTGGCCGGTTTACTACACTAAGAGGAAAGGCAAGACGGACATATAACCAGATTGTGACGGAGCATGCACGGAAATGCCTTGAGTTCTGTGATGTCAATTCTTGACTCAACTTGCTGAGAAACTCTCTTGCTTGGAAAAGTCTCCTAGCTGCTGCCTTTCCAGCAGCCACCTCTGACTTAATGCCTCCATTATGGTGTGTTGTAACTCCAAGGTATTTGAACTGGTTGATTTGCTTCATGGCATACTTTCCCATCATGATCTGATGTTTCTTTTCCTCTTTTGAGATCACAATTGACTCCTATTAACCTTACATATATTTTCTTCATGTGGCTCAAGAGGGTTGGTTATACCTCTGTACGATGCACAGTCTCTGGCTTATCGTCTTTCAAAAATAACAAAAAGGGGAGATAAATAGGATCTGTTAATAGAAGTAAATTAGTTACCATGGCAATGAGATGTCTGAGAAAGGCCGCAGGAGTGACCAAAAGAAATTAAGTCAGGAATGCTGTCGTAAGAGAAATGTCGGCATAGGTTTAACAGTGAACTACCTTAAAAGACTGGAAATAAAATAGTTTGCTCACTTAGAAAGAATGCCTTGCGGAGCCACAATACAAAGCATACACCAAAAGAAATGAGGAATGAACTGCATCGAGCTGACCAAGAGCAAGATAAAAATATATCATCAGAGAAATGCACAACAGTGCAATGCGTCCGTGGTCAAATTGGTCAAAAGATCAAGCAGCTGAAATTTATATCTCCCTCGAAATCAGAAGCAGTAGATGAGGAAGTTAAAAAAAAAAAAGAAGAAAGCAGTAAGTTGACAGATCGTCCCCACTGCCAAATAGAACCAGTCAGACCCTAAGCACATCCACCAGTGTGATTTGACTGATGAGACAAGCAGGGTCGTCTTAATGCATGTGCCCGCTGAGCACTTGTCCGGGGGCCCTACCAGCAAAGGGTCAATGCTAATGTGTGTATGTTAAGTGACTTGCCATAAATTAAAATTTACTTCATGCTGAAATTAATTCTATGTAATACGCATAAAAAAACAAAGACATTATACCCCCTCCCATTCCCAAGTTTTGTTGAAGCGTAACAAAAATAAATATATATATTTAGCATTATTGACCACTTACTTCTCATTCCTCTGAGTGGTTGTCGTAGGGGCCCCAGCACACTGGTTCTCTCAGGGCCCCATAATACTGTTAACACGGCCCTGCACACAAGTTATGTGTCAGTTCTTTTGAATAATTGATTTAAGAATCATCATCATCACAGTACACTGAGCATACCCATACATGCTCCGTCTCCTGCAGCAAATGTCTTAAGGTGCAGATGCTAACTGTTCCTGTAGCACACTGATTATACACTCATTGTTCTTTTCTTCTCATACACTCCTCCTTGCTGGATTCCATGTTCACACATTTCATTTAGCCTAATTCCTTAGTAAATGGTCTTTATAAAGTCTCTCTTGTAAAATGTTGAATTAAGAATTGACATCCTCAGCAGCAAGCAAAGAGTTCAAATTCTGATGGTACCAGTAACTGTGTGACTGTACATCCAAATCATCTTTCCCTTCTTTTGTCCAATACTAGTGTTTCTGTAGCTATCACTTTTGTAGCTATAAAATTCCCCTTCATTCTCTAGCACTCCTGCATGTCCCAGACAGTATATATATATATAGATATATAAACAAAAAATACCACAAAATCAATATGCAATGAACAGTTTAAAAGCAGAATGAAACAAAAACAAGTAAAATGTAAGACATATTGAAACATTTATTCAGAGACATAGCATATTTCTTTAGTTTCTTTTTACTTTCACAAAACAAACTCATCTTCAAAAAACTTTCGATACCACTAATATTTTCTAGAATCGTGAAATAAAAAGACAGAGCAACATAAATGTAAAGTTCACAGAATTATTAGACTAGAAGTCAGAAAATGAGTCCCAGGATGTTGTATGCAGTAGAAGATGAAAATTTTAATTTATTAAAGAAAGTAAACACAGACAGCATTTTCTGAACAAGTTATAAGACGTGAATTCAAAACCTGGTGACAACGAGCACAGAGATGGGTGATCTTGTAAGATGGCAAACAATGACCACCTGTATACATTAGAATGGCATATGATTATGATACTGCTAATTTAATGCTGTATGCCAATGAAGCATAGACAATGAATATCAAAGAGATTGGGGAAAAAGGATGGGAAAAGGGGGGGGGGAACAAGAGGCAATAGAGACACTGTCCCTTCGTATAAAGCTAAGAAGCTAATTTCTTTTTCTTCCTCTGTAGGTACCACACTGTTGCTAGGATGTAGCCCAGTGTTGTGGTTTTCTCTATTTATCTTGTGCTTCCTGAGTGGCGGATTTGTACTTCTATTTGCAAGATTTAGTTATACCATCTCTCCATCTTTTTTCTGCCCAGATGTTTTACTACAGGTCTCATACGCAGTTTGGCCTAGCTCCATAAAAAAAAAAACTGACAGCTCTGGGATGCTGGACGCCACTTTAAACAGATGATCGACAGCCCATCCAGGGTGCACTTAGTTGCCTGGGATGCTGCAAAGTCTCAGACTTTCAATGACTCCAGTCATCTTCTTCTAGGTCTCTCTCTGCCTTTTGCTATTTTGATTTTAAGACTGCATGCTCTTGCTCTGGCATCACTGCGTTCATTTTCATTAGATGGCTGAACCATTTCAGTCAATGATTTTCATTAAATTGAATGATGTGTATCATTATACCAAAAAAAAAAAAAAAACAGTATTGTCAGTGTATGGGAACAGAGGGCCTGGAGAACAATGTAACAACCAAGAAGGTTGACATATTAGAGGCAGAAGGTGAATGAAGGACAAAGCGGTGGATGGTTTGCTGAGTCATATGGAAGGCAATTAGTGGTCAAACTTGTCAAGAATCAAAATACAGATAGTGTAATGGTAACATGACCACCTTCAACATAAAACATCCCATAATAATTATAATATCCGACAGTCCCTAACTGACACAAAACTGGAATGGAACAAAGCCATAAAGAAAACTGCTCTTAGAATTCTGGCGATCTCTCTAGCAAACCTTAATACCGCAAGGGAGAATAGAAGTGACTAAGTAGGTCATAATCATAATATAATGATGAAGCATATATGCATTGTTTTTAACAGTATGGTTATTTAGCAAATCTGTTCCTGGTTAACTTTCTGACAGTTAAAATCTTGCATGTGCACACAAAAACCCAATAATATTCATAATCTGTTTGCATTACTACTAATTACAATACAGACAATATAAAGGCTGACAGACTAATATTGTTGAGCACTTAGATAGAATGGCAGATAATAGAGAGACAAACACTACAGAAAATAGCTAAATCGGAGTGGACCCCAAGACAGACCAAGAATATACAGACAGGCAGACCTACCAATACTTGGAGTCACCAACTGTGAAAAAAAGGCCAATGAGAGAGGTGAATGGAGGTGGATGATATCAGCAGGAATGAACCTCAAAGGCTTGGAATGCAGAAAAAGATGTCAAAATTAGAAGCCTCTTCCCTCTGTGTGGGTTCAGGGCCCTTATTGTGGGGGAAAACAAGAATACATTTACTGTCTACCCAACAAGCATGTCGCTGGAGTTGACTAATTAGGTGCTTCCTCTGAAGTCAGAGTGTACCTGCCCGAGCGGCAAGAAACAACAAACTGTACACAACTAAGTCAATAAAATGGATGTACATGCAAAACTGAGGCACTGACACAAAGCCAATTGGACGAACAGCATGACTTTCAGCCGGAGCTCACAGCCAGTGAACAAAAAAAGAAAAGAAGAAGAAGCCTTTCTGATACAGTACTTATCTCTGATCTGATAACTAGCTAGTTTGAAACAAACATTCATTCATTTATCTGTTCTAGCAATGCTAATGAACATTATAGTAATATCTCAAATAGTCTTCATCCTTCGGTTTCAAAATGCATCTGTCCTTTAAGTTTACAATCCAACCAGGCTCTAATCCATAAAATATTTGTAAAGGATCTTTCCTCATCAACAGTAAGTCCTTGACAGGATCTGCACCCAAGTCTGGCAGTTTGTAACCGTATTTCTGAGCCAACTTTTCACGTGCCAACAGAATCTTCTCAGGATCTGCTAGGTATCCTCGAAATTCTGGATCAGAATAATAGGCCAGTGCATCCTGCAAGAGAACAATTAATTATATGATCAATCTAATTCAAAACAATGTAATCTCTTCAAAATAGTCATACAGAGTGACACATTTACCACAAGACAACAGTAACAAGTAAAGGACCCCTTACATGACAATGGCACATTGGGCATGTGGTGCCGTAGTATGTTTCAAAACATATGTCTTCATATGTCCTCCATTATCTCCAAACTGACGCATGGATCACAGTGAATTTTGCACACAATCTTACACTATGAATGTCACTGTGATTTCATGATTGAGTAGCGGTTGGCCAAATGGTTAAGAACGCTGCTCTCATGTAGGAGACCCAAGGTTGTGGATTGTTCTGTCAGAGGCAGAAGCAAAATCCTTACCTGTGCAGTCCATGGTGACAGCACTGGCCACGCAGCCCTAAGTCCTCAGGCTCACCGTGTCTACACCCCAACAGTGGTAAGTATAGGCGGTAATGAGTTTTTAAAAAATTGATTTTATAATTTGCAATTATGCTGACTTCTTTGATCTTTTTCAATACCCCACCATTTTTGTTGTCAAAAAATTACTGAAAATTAAGACACTTTACTGTCACTATACAAAAAATATATATATTTTTTTTGATTGACCACAGACAAATTTTATATTGTAAGGGGAGGGAGACTTTAAACTGTACAGTAATATGTGCCTCTGAAATTCGTAAGGCTTGTAACAATTACATTTTCTCCCCAAACTGTCTCACTCTTAAAATTGTGAGCTTTCTGTAAAAACACACAGAAATTAATGAAGACAAACGTGCACAGCACAGAATGCTCACTGTGCTACAGTAAAATTATGAAAAGGCTATTAATGAAAAGCTGAATTTTTGATTTCATAGTAAGTTGGATGTCACTGCAAAATATTTCCCATCATGAAATTAGAATTACATGTGCAAGATTTAAAATATTTGGGTCAAAGTGTTGTTGAGTTAAAACACTTGATTTGTGGCTTTGAAATGGACTGAAGAACCATATTTTGTACAGACCCATCATCACTTGATGAATGATAGGATGTTATCACGATACTGTCCGCACAGTGAGACTTACTTCCCACCTTATTCATGCCGCAGGGGTGTCATGTACTCCTTATTTTTAACGGTTAAACCATTCTCTTTTTTTTTTCGTGGTGTCACCGCTCACTTGCGAGATTACTGGCACAATGTGCTACCTGCGCTACAGTTTGTAAGTAGCGAAACTGGGATGTTTTTGTACATCCACTTTCCTTGGCGGTCGCTTCTTTTTCTGGGGTGAAAGCCACCGACAGGAACGGATAAATACTTACCCCAAAAAAAAATCCTAGTTTCAATACTCATGATCCGACACACCTGTGGCGCTCCCCACCCCCAGTACTTCTTACTTGTACACAGTGGCATGCAGTGCCTCAGAAAGCCTCAAGACAACACCCCCTCCCCCCAAAATTGTATATGGCGAGCGAACGCTGAAAGAAGCCATACCATAACACCCCCATAACATAGGACAGGCCCTGTGACCAGCTGCAGCATGAATGAGACAGGAAGAAATTCTCAGTGAGGATAATATTATGATAAGTTTTGAATGATGAAGTCAATATCATGCCAGACAGCTTTACTTCCCTGCACATTTCCTGAAGTCCATTTTTGGCCGTGTCAACCTAGGAGCTAATGTTAATTATAAAAAAAAAACAATCCGCAATGTGGATTCAAACACAAGACCTTAAGGAAAGCCTATAGTCACTGTACTACAGTGACAACTGTCGATAAATATTAATGTAGGTTTCACTGACACACTTGACCATGTTTTACTGGGGCCTGTAAGGGACGCAAACAGTAAAGGACAAATCCCTGTCAAACATAAACCAATGCTAATAAGCTGAAAAGTCTTGCTGAGGCTGTGTTTCTCAACGACCCTGAGAGCATGCCAATGGTAGCTTCGCTATCAGCAGGGCCTCCCAAGCTGGACAGGTCAAAGATTAGAAAAAAAGAAGAGAGACACCCAAGTCCTTCAGGTATGTGGTTGAAGCGTGGAGCCAACACCCTAAACTCTGTAAAAGTTCATTTCATCATGAAATAAGATATCCAAACTTTGAAATTGGATGGGTCGAAACGGACAACTCTGGAATGTTAAACACCTGGAGTCACCAAATGTAAAGAGAAGGGTGATCACAGAGATGAATAAAGGCAAGTGATATCTGCAGCAATGAATCGCAAGGGCTCAGACTGCTGAAGAAAAAGTAAATAAATGTGAAACTTTGTAAAAACTATTAAAACATCACAGATTTATCTGTAATAACAGGCCACAAAATGATATCATTTAAAAACAAAAGTCTGAGATCCGCTTTAACTGAAAGATAACAGATTAATAAAATAATGTTAGATATGCTTTTAACAGTGTTACTGCCCGGCTCTCTAGCGAAGTTGGTTAAACCTGACTTTCGCGGCGGCCGGGTGACGAACTCATTGTGGTCCGGGTTCACACCCGGGGGTAGGCAGAAAAGCCACATTTCTCCCAGATTAACGGTACCTATAATGGAATCAATGCCGAAGGGTTGCGATATCCATAGTACCGAGCCAAAGGGTTTACAACTCATGGTTTCTGGATACGTAAAAAAAAAAAAAAAAAAAAAAAAAAAAACCAGTGTTACTGGGAGAAAGAGAGCAGGAATTACAAGATCTAATAGAGCAAGAAGATAGAGCAGGTACCACTGACAAAAACAAACAACACCATCATTAGCCATGAAGGGAAAGGACAACAATGAGCATCACAATAAACACAAAAGGCTAAAACTTTTAACACTTTTCTCCTAACTTGGTTTTAAAGGTTGACTAAACATCCGTTACAGGGTGTCACAAACCAATCTCAGCCGTTTTTTGGCTGTTGCAGTTTTTCTAGATAATTTTACGGCTAAAAGTTTGCCACTGTCTTTCTAAATGGTCTGAGTTATGATCTGGGTTATGTTCATGGCACACTAGACACATCCATAGGTGCTCAGATTCCCCCTTCAACATCAGTCCCAGTCCTATGTTGGTTGACAAGACTTCTAGTGCATCGCGTGTGCTTCTTGCAATCTTAGCGAAGATGTGGAAGTGCTGCTCCCAAATCCCTCTGAATGATTTACCTCTCTAATGGCATTAACAGTGTCAGCATGATCCATCGGCTGGCCCTCTGTAACTAAGGCAGAGCCGGCTAATCTGTCGGCTCTTTCATTGCCAACAACACCCGTATACCCTGGTACAAAGATGAAGGTAACTCCATACACAGAGGAGTTTTGCAATGACTCAAACCACTGTCTGCGTACAAAGCCCACCTCGACCCGCTGGATAATGCTCATGGAATGGCTCAGCACGCACACATGAGCACAGCCCTGCAAAGCTTTCCACATGAAAGCTTGTGTTTACCGATGAAAGCTTGTGTTTACCGGCATCACCTCCATTGTCATACTGCTAGTAGTCATACAGAAGACACCACTGGGCTCCTGGACCGTTCTGCCTGCAGAGCACACAGTAAATGCCCATACACTTTTTTTGTCTTCCTACAATGGACCCATCTGTGTAGATCAGTACACCCACTTGTCAATGCTCTCACTGTTGTCAAAATCAATACAAACTGGCTGCATCTGAATCAAATCTAGTTTCTTGGAATTATGAAACTGCATTCGTAATGCTATAGCCACAGTAGTAAGAACAACAATACAGTTAATAGATAACACTATTAAAGGACTCTTTTCCACGCTTTTAGGCGAACAAGGCATATAGGGCTAAACCTATATTTTTATAGACCAATCAGCATTTGGTGGGTGATGTGGCCAGCATCCAGCCCGAGGCCTATACTTCCCATGACTGCACCTGGTACCCACTTAAGGCTGGGTCTACCTGGGAGCCAAGATCATTTTTCAAAATAGTCCGTCTCCACCAGGGAGCGAACCCACGACCTTCAGATCCACAGGTGAGCGTCTAGCCACTATGCCACAAGGACTCCCAATTGACAAAATATTAATACGATAAATAGATTTAATTCAAAATGCTATTCTGATACCTGTGGCGGTAATTTGCACTTGGGTATGGGCAGTCCCTTCTTAAAGTGAGCCAGAGGGTTAAACAAGGCTGCCAGGCATTGTGGGTCGTAGTATCTAGTAGTTATTGTCCCTCCACTTTTCTCCACAGCTGCAATCACCAGCTCGCTTGTCCACTGAATCTCAAGGTTGATTTTCGCTGCAAAGACGTCACACCCCTGCAGAAAAGAGATTAATTATAGTAAGAATATACAGGTATTGAGGCTGATTCAAGGGAACAATATGCCAAGGGGGTCTCCGTGGCGAAGGTCATTGCCGTCTGCTTTGCACTCTGAAGGTGGTGGGATCATTTCACTGTTGTGCCCTTCAGTATACAGATAAATTCACCGTGTGGGTTCTGGGGCACAATTATTGAGGGGATAACTACACCCCCCCCCCCCCCCCCCCCCCCCCCCAAGCACGTTGTAAAGGTAGACTAACCTGGGATCTTTCCTTCTAAATCGGATTGCATCCACTTGAAAGGGAATGAACTAACAATCTTCATACAAATAAGCCAGAACTGTAAAATGGATTTACACAAAAAAAAGTTAGGTTCTGGAGCCCCTACTTCCATTCTCATTCTTGACTTCATGTCTTATCCCAGAATTGAGCTTATAAAAGCGACATCACAGCACTCGGGGCACTCTTATTAGTTCTCCACCCCCATCTTTAGTAGCCAGCAGAGTTTCACTTTTGATGGCACCTGTAGCTGTTGAATTAAATATCTGTCTTTCCTTTGAATGTTGCCCAGAACTGCTTTAAGTGAACATCTGTGAAGTCTTCTGATACATTCAGACACACTATGCTGGCAGTAAAACATCTTGCTTTCACTGCAACAGTCCCCTGGTTTTTTTTTTTTGGGGGGGGGGGGGGGGGGGGGGGGGCCTGGCTTTCCCGCAAACACTCAAAAACCACTACAATTGTTCTTTTTTATAGAAATCTAGGAATATGCTTGAGAATACTACCTACACTAATTGCTACGGACCTTATTAGATTTAATAGTTTTAGATATTTTTAATGGCTGAAATGTGCTGACGGTAACTGCACTGTAGCGCCCCCCCCTCCCCCCTTCCGCCCAACTCCCCTCGCCAGTGCAGTTGATTGCCTGGCAACAATGCTTAATAGTATGATTTCTAAGCAAGTAATTAACCCTTCACCTGGGTGACCTAGAAAAAAAGACGGAGGGATGTGAGTTGAACTGACGATAGGGCTGTCCCCGTTTCAGATCAAAGTATTTGCAGAATGTCTTGTTTTCAGCACAAAACATGATGGTCACCCTATTAGTTAGTTAGTTAGTTAGTCTTTCCTCTTGTGTCGAGTGCGGCACATAGGGCAGAGGTCGTGACTCTCCATGCACGGCGGTCCGTTGCAATCCGTTGTAGGTCTTGGATGTTTGAGTGGCCCATGAGCGAGCCTTCCCTGATGATAGTTCTACGTAGGGTTTCCCTTGGTCTTCCACGAGATCTTTTCCCCTGTGGTGTCCAAATGAGGGCTTGGTAAGGAAGTCTTGATTTATCCATTCTAAGGGCGTGGCCGACATAGTTCCAGCGGCGTTTTCGTATAAAAGTAGACACATACTCTTGCCTGGATTCTTGCCTTATTTGTGTATTGGTTCGGAAATCTGACCATTTGAAATTTAGTATTCTTCTAAGGCATTTATTTTCAAAACTGTCTAATTTTGTGTCTAGAGTTTTCGTTGATTTCCAGCTCTCGCATCCATAGGTTAGTACTGGAATCACACAAGAATTGAAGATCTTGAGTTTTGTGTGTTTGCTAAGTGTCTTTGATTTCCAGATGTTAGACAGTTTATTGAAGGCACTAGATGCCAGTGCTATTCTAAATGATATTTCTGGTGCGGTATCTCCTGTAGATGACATCTTGCTCCCTAGATAAGTGAAACTGTTGACTTTTTCAAGGCTGTTGTTGTTCAGCGTGATATCAACTGAACTGTTGGTAAGGTCTAGAATTTTTGTTTTTGCGGTGTTAATTTGGAGTCCAATTTGTTCTGAGAAATTCTGGAGTCGATTGATTTTTTTCTTGGGCGTCTGTGTGTTCTGAACTCACCCTATACAGAGCACATTAAAAAAGGTGACAAACACCTGCAGTAAAAACCTGCAGCAGTACTCATACCTCTTCTGTGATGTTTACACCAAAGTGGTTTTTGGCAACTTCAAACTTGAACAGTCCAGTGTTGCAGATGGATACAATATCCACTGGTTTGGTCACATCTACTCTGTCTAAATCTATCATCCTTTGCAACTCAAGAAGACTTATAGGTGGATACTGTCGACGGATTCTGTGAAAAAAAAAAAGGGAAATAATTCCAAATATCAACTTTCTCTATTCATCTGCCTGTAGCATCACCTTCACAGTAACCTCCTCTTGTTGTCCTCTATGATTACCAGGACCATAAAGTGCCTTGCTGATTGGCAATGAAGACCACTCAACATAAAATAGAAGTAAACAGAAAGTCAACAACACACATGTTTAAGTATAATTCGGCAGAAACTATGAAAACAAAATAACCAGCCTGCATTAACTGAATGGATCAATCAATGAATCAAGAATTGACACTATTGCACTTGGGACATGCCCACACGTGTTCCGTCTCCTTCTTCAGTAGGCAACGAAGAGTCGACATGCTAATATTACCAGATGCAACCTGAGTAAAAGTCTGCCACCCTATACCCCTCAGTGGTAAATATCTCCCAGAGCCTATACTCATCCCCTCTCCTTCCTCCACCCTGTGAAATAGTCTTTCAATTTTTGGACTCTCTCTCTCTGTAATACCGCCCTGTCCATCTGATCCCAGAGAGCCTTCACTACATCTTCTTTATAAAAAAGTAGCTCATTATCCAGAGGCGTGGCAGCAGCTAATCTATCAGCCTGCTCATTACCTCGCACACCTGAATTTCCTGGACATAAATTGGATGACATGCTCCTGATCTTCGTCTTATCAAGTGACACACACCATTCTGCTGACAGAATGCCAGTTTTAATTTTCAGATGATCTGCATTGAATTAAACAGCTTTAAGAGTAAGAAGAAGCGTAATGTAACACTTACGCATACTGTCCATAATATTTCTCACTTGGTACAGAATCAATTAATGGTCTCTGACCCCCTTCATAGCCCAGTGGATCCCAGGTGTTGCGTGATCCCTGCCCTTTATCACCTCTGCCCTTCTTCTTTTGGCGACGTCCCCTGTTAACTTGCTTTTTCTGCAAGCAAAAAATGTCATAAAATGCATTATTAAGATTGAAGCAACTCTAGAAGATCTTGCCATGTCAAATGCTGGGTACTCCAAAAAAAAAAATTAATACGTTGGCCCCTGAGTAAACTTAGTTGAATAGCTCTTCTCTCTGTGAATACCATATCCATCAGCAGCACTCACAAGAGACAAGGAAAAAGAATAGGCTGACAATGTTTTTTTACCTGTAAAACAGCTTGAAATGGTGGAAGCCGGACAATGTGATTGGTAAGTGTGGGGGGGGGGGGGGGGAGGGGGGCAACAGTTCACAGAGAAAATGGTAAAAACTGGACATAGATGTTTGAAGAAAACAAGAAAAACATTTAGATGATAAAAACAGGGCATTGAAATGGCAAAAAACAGGACACTGCAATGATGAAAATGATCAATAATAAGGTAAAATCACTTAGTGATATGACATCACAATCCTCTTTTAGAGTTATCCCCATCCTTGGAGCAGCACAAGCTCCCAGTAATCTTGACCTGTAATCTTCACAGATCAATTATGTGTAGATGATAATGTCTTCTGAGCGTGAGTGCTATTCTTTGAATGCTTGGTATCCCTGGTAGTAGGAATCTGACCTTTGCTGTCGTGAGTCGACCAAACAACTGTTTCACAAATTTACTAAATATGAGTCTACCATCAAATGCCGAATGTTCCACTGGTGTAAAAATTGTCCTTTATGGTAGACTCAACATTTATTTAGTTCCATTCTGAAAAAAAAACACTGAATGCTGTCTTAACAATAGGGGTTGGCTGCAGTGCACTCACAGCACTCTAAAGGAATATTATATGTAGGAATGCTAGTGAAGTTTTATGTATTGGGTTTTTACTCACAGCTGAACAGAGATTAAAATATCCAGTCCAGCAATACCTCAATGAAGCCGGTAAGTCAACTCTAAGCCATCCTCTCCTTCGATCCCACCCAACAATTTTTTTTTTTAAAGAGGTGTAAGAATTAAGATGTGTATACACAAATGATCTATTTAAACATTTATTAATAAATTTCATATTATGTCAAGTATATTGTTATATTTATTTGCCATTCAGCACATTATTATTGTTGGGACGGGGTGAGGGGGAGGGGGGAGGCGGGCCTTTAGCCCTTAAATATTACACTAAAAATGTGTAAAACGGAAAAGGGGGGTGGGGGGCACCCGGTACAATGCAATAAAATAAAGGAAGCTGCAGGAGATGTGGTAGCTGCTGCTTATGAGTCCCAGCCATCTAATTTAGTCCCGCTCCACACCGTGTGTAGTGGCGTGGGAGATACTCTCGGCGGTGGCGGTAGTCGCCGGAAGTCAGCAATTTACATGTGACTGAGGCCCTATTAGGGTATATTTTTGGCCTCGATAATTTAGGACCGTTATTCGGAGGATAGCCCCAAAAAGTAAAAAGCTTAGTCTCCAAAGGGTTAATAATGTTATAAAGGCTATCCTCCGAATAACGGTCGGTAAAGATGGCGGCCGCAAAATATCCTTTCGAGACACAGTCACGTGTCAATTAATTTGCAGTTCTCCTGTGGTTTTCTGGCGACTACCGCCACCACCACGAGGCCCCCACGCCGCGTGAGCAGCAGCAGCAGCTTCAGCATCTCCTGAGGCTTTGTTCGTGAGTCCTAGCCATCTAGTTTAGCACCAATCCATGCCGCGTGAGCAGCGTATGGGACTCGAGGCGGTGGCGGTAGTCGCCGGAAAACCGAAAATTAGGTCACGTGACTGTGGCTCGAAAGGATATTTTGCGGCTGCCATCTTTACCGACTGTTATTCGGAGGATAGCAGTTATAAATTATAATTGTAGCCAAATCAGCAACCATGGAAGCATGACTGTTTCCTGTTACATCCATACTTATATTCCCCCAGACACACACACACAAAAACTGATTTTCATCAGTCTAACTACTAAACTGACATCCTTGTCATCACAACAAGGAACCGCATCTGCGCCATCTGACGTGCAGAAAGTGAAACTACTGAGACAGAATCAGAAAGGCAAGAGTAGAGAGTGTTGTACATCGCACGCAACCCTTATAACTTATCAGCTTTTGCATAGTATGTACATCTAACGCCAAAAACTTACATATGTAGCTGTTGGGAGATCCTTAATGTTACCCAAACCAACCCTTGGCATCGACTTTACCAAATTCAATGCCCTCTCGGTCACTTTGGACGCCATGTTTTTTTAAATTTCTTTCCAAACACTATTTGCTGAAGAGTTCGCCTGGTACATGGTGTTTCCGACCATGAAACCGGCTATATGGCACATCTTCGCCAGGTTAGCCCATTAACTCGCCAGTAGACGACTTCGTCGCTGGTAGGGACGGTATTTCGGTCTGTCACCTTAGATCACATCAACGCCGCAGGAGTTCTTTTATGGGCTTTTGGTGGCGTGCAACGTTAAGCCATTTTACATGGCGCACATAACATAGTCACAATTATAACCTAAAGCTGCCTATTGGGGGATGCTGGTTGAACGTGAAGATCCCCCCCCCCCTGCAAAGCACCTACCTACCTACTACAGCTATATGGCGTATGCAAATACCTCACTGTAGTGTGCACAAGTTTATATAGGGACTTTAGAAGCCTAGTCTTACTAAATCATGGAACATCTAAACTATTCATATCTGGAATAACATAGGGATGTGTCTTATCATCCCTGCTGTTTATCACACATATAGTCAGTATACTCAAGGATATCAAGACCAGGAACTAAAGTATTAGTAACATCAACGAATTACTTCTCGCTGATGACCAGGCCTTGATAGCTGATACAACCATAACATTGCAAAAGTATCTCACATCCATGGATAAAGAATGTGAAACAAATAATATGAGAATCAACACTGAAAAGAAAGAAGTTATGGTAACTCCTCGCATGGCCATTCTCCTCAGACCATAATAATCTATTTTCGCTTCCACACTTTTCACTCGCTTCCAGAGGGCCCTCACAACGTCTAGCTTGCCATACATCAATTCACCACCAAGTGGTGCAGAACCGGCCAGTCTATCTGCCTGCTTACTTTCCAACACACCGGCATATACTCGAGAGAATATCCTAAAGAGACTAACTACTCGGGACCTCTGAAGTGATGCTTGCCACTCTGCATAGAGCATAGCTGTCTCCATCTTTCTCAACACGCTCTGTGAGTCAGTGACAATCACGGGATGTGTGTACAGCTGATTCTCAAGCCAGCAGAAGGCAGCAGTAACTGCCCCCACTGTCGTCCTTAGACTAGACTTTGTGATTCCATATGCAAGGCTTTGTTTTACTAAGCGACATCCTTTCGATTATGCAATGAACCTCCACCCATTTCTTCTGCCCCTCAACACAGAACCATGTGTACAGATAATCACATCACTTGGGCGGGAATTGTCATGAATCACTTGTTGAACTTCTGATTCTGCAGAACCTGCTGTCCTGTCTCTGCACTCACGTCCCAAAGTGTTAAGAACCCTGTGCAAGTCTGAAACTTGCTCGGACACTTTTACCTACTCGTCATCTCACACGAATGTATCAAGCATACACACATGTCTGATTGTGTCTTCAGCTTGCACCCTCCAAGACCTTTCTCTTTTCCGTCTGTGTCCCTTGGATCTACCCAGGGCTTCATGCAGGAGGTGCTTCTTGTCTGCAGCTACTCTGAGACATGACTTTGCTTGCAGAACTTTGAGCCTATCTGCAATAGTAGACAGTGAAAGTATTATCGCATACATACTACCGGGGTATCTCTTGTACATCCCAAAATTACCCGCATGGCTTCATTCTGTGTGCGTTCAAGTTTCATCAACTGACTTATTGAAATGGTAAGCATCTAAGTCCATAATCTATCACCGTCATGATTACATGCTGGAACACTGTGAACAGCATTCTTTGTTCCATGTTCATTGCTGTCATAATCCTGACAGCATTGAGTTCTTTTTGGCATTTCACCGCAACTGCCTCCACATGATCCCTGAAGGACAGGATTCTATCATTAATGATACCTATGTACTTCAGTTAGCTTTGTCTTTTGATTTTATTGTTATTAATTGTGAGGCTTGGAACATTAGCTTTTACAATTCTATTGTCAAGAGAGCATCACCAAACAGCAGCCTTTTCTGAGTTTATAACAGCACCTATTTCTGCACACAAGTCAGTCGCTTTGCCTACTGTTGCCTGTAGCTCTTGTGCTATCCATTGCGTATTACTCCCCTGCCTTTATGCAAGAACATCATCAGCAAATGTTTTTTTTCCTTCCAACATCTGGTGCTTCAAGTATTGTAATCTTGCTTGTAAACACACTAAACAGCATTGGTGAAAATGCAGAACCCTGGTGTAGTCCTGGGGCGATATTACATGGTTTTGTGGTCCATGTACCCAGGCGAAGGGCAACTATACGTGAATGCTGGACAGCTGCTTTCCAGTTCACAGGCCAAGGACAAACTCAGATCGAAGATGAGCTTAAACTACCGGAGCACTAGCAAATTGCTTAGACTAGAACTTGGATGGGTTGCTTGACCACACCTGAAAAAATATGTGATCTATAGCAGAAGTACAATTATAGAGCAGTAACTATTAGCTGGAGTGCAAAAAATATGAAACCCAAAGAAACCACTAATAGACCATACGAATCTCTGCACATTACATATGACGATGGAAAACTTGTTGCACATAGACAGCCCTAGAGACCTCATTGGCAATGTCAAGCAATTCATCTCTAGAACTAAAATCCATATATAGAAAGATAAACATTGCCCATGTCATCCTTGAAGAAATGTTCCCCAAAAATAGAATAAGTGAGTACAATCATTAAACTAAGGGCATAAAACATCCAGTTGTGGGTTCGCTCCCTGGCGGAGCCGGACTATTTTAAAAAATGACCTTGGCTCCCAGGTAGACCCAGCCTTGAGTGAGTACCGGGTGTAGTCCCGGGAAGTAGAGGCGGCCGGCGTGAAGCTGACAACATCACCCATCTTTTGCCGATTGGTCTTTACAAATAAAGGTCTAGCCCTATATGCCCTATACGCCTGAAGGCGTATAAACCATCCATCATTTTAATGACACAATGTTAGATTTTCTAATCATTGATACTAGAAAAAAAAAAGAATCATTTTATAGTCACAATGTTATTAAGTTTAAATGTTCATTGTACAATTTATTTCATAATCATAAACCACAAGAAATCTATATTTGAAACAATACAATTTACATTTTCATCTTAAATAAATTATAACAGAGTAGAATTCGTTGAACATTATAACTCCCAATCATAACCATAAAGTTTTAACAAGAATTTTGTTGTTGTTGAAAAGTTACTACTTGAACTATATTAAAAATGTTTGTTCGTTTCAGCCAACTATTCGTCTTAAAGAAGTTCGCGTGAATGAGATTTAGCAGTATAAGAAATGCAATTTAAAATTGTTTTCAAGAAATCGTGGACTCGAAGACAACTTATCACAAACATCTGAAAGAGACATTTATTTTTTATTTTTTTAAACTCAGTTGTTATGAGAAGGAAACTGTAACGTGTTGTGACCACTGGAAACAACTCTGGGGAAGAAAAAAAAGAGAAAAACAACGCGAGAGGATTCTTGACAGTCTTATGTCATGGCATATAGCTGCATCAGCTCATTAACTGATACTTGATGGTAAGGGTGTACCGAATAGTGATTTTCACTATTCGGCCGAATACGAATAACGGGACCAGCTATTCGACCTAACACGAATAGTACATAGTGTATAAAAAAAAATACACACATTCATAATGTCAAATGTATGCTGAACTTTCACTTGACATGAAGCAGCACATAACAGTCATCTTCTTCTTTAGCATTCTGAGCCCTTGAGGTTTACTGCTGCAGATATCACTCGTCTCCATTCATCTCTCTGGATGGCCTTCTCTTCACAATTTGTGACACCAGATGTTTGCAAGTCTGACTGGACATTATCTTTCCAACTTCCTTTTTGTCTGCCTCGTAGTCCACGCCCATTCTTCTCTCAGGTATAAACAGTTTTACTTCTCTGTCATCTGACATTATTTCAATATGCCCCAACCACTTTAGTCTGTTAGCTCTCATGATGCCAGTAATCAATGGTGATTTAAACAGATTATGTGTTATGTTGTTGCTTCTCACTCTCCTTTCCCCGCTGTTAGCATCTTTGATGGGTCCAAAGATTTGTCATAAGACTCTGTTTTCGAAAACCTGTAAAAAGGCCTCATCTCTTTTATTTCTGCTTCAAGTTTCAGAGCCATATTAAGCGACTGGTCTTGTAAACGTTTTGTATATTTTGATCTCGGTGTTGCGAGACAGCACGTTGACTTTAGCAGATGTTGAAGGGCATAGCATACTTTATTTCTAGATTGTATTTCTTCTCTCAGCATGTTGGAGCAGTTGAAGTTTGCACCCAAAGTACTTATATGTTTCCGTTCGTTTGATTTTTATATTATCAACTTGGATGTGGCCGGAGTTTAAATTCTTTCCATGTCTAGTTAGTATTCGTACAGAAAAGTAAACGTTTAAAAAATATTTTGTGTTTTGCATCCTTCAGTCAGTCTGTGGTAACTAATAACTAGTAATGAAAGAATCCTAAGTATTATAACAAGCAACTAAACTTCGAAATTGTCACTGACAGCTTAGTTAATGCACGAACACTGCATTAGCTTTCAACAAAACCAATCGTTCCATGTTGTCAGTATTAAGGCTGTGTATGCAGTTGCGGGTGTAAGGTAACTACTATTCGTATTCGGCCCGACCGCTACTATTCGGCCGAATACCGAATAGTCAATAGGTCCACTATTCGGCCCCGAAGCGAATGTTCGGTACAGCCCTTGATGGTGAGGATAGCAGATTTTTTTTGGAGTCACAATCGCCCACGCCAGTCGGCAAGGCACTTGATGATGATGATACTTTTATTGTTAGTGCGCTCCCTTATGTATGCGTTATCACGTGACTAAACAAATCTTCCTCACTCTGCCTAGATACGGAGTCGTTCTCTCAGCACACTTTGTCATTTTATTTATGTTTAGTCCGTAAACTGTTAAAACTGACCGTTCCTGCTATGTGAAGTTAATAATTCGTTTGTTGATATGATTTCACGACAGAATCTGGACATGAGTAGAAAGATTCAACCAAATTACAGCAATCATAGCAGTCGCCAAACTTCCAGCCAAAGTCTGATGAGCGGCCTGCCCTCAA